TGTTGCTCTTGCTCTGCATTATAACCCTGTAGGTAATTTTTTTTAAGAGATATTTTTGTTATAGGGAGCTCTCCAGAGAGAGAGAGAGAGCGAAACAGAGAGACAGAAAGTGAGAAATCACCACCCCCCCCACTCCGGGAGGGGGTGGGGGAATGGCCATGCCACAATCCCTTCTTCTCCATTCTCCTCTCAGGATTTGGGGCATGCACACACATGTGCCCAGTGTGATTTTCAGCCATCGGGTCTGGGGTTCTAATCATGGTCAACTACTTGGGAATCCAGTAACGTAACCATTACACCATCTGCTGGTCCATCTCCCGTCTCCCCACACCCAGGCAATTTTGAGGACAAACTCCTTAGGGTTGAAAAGCGCCTCAGTGGTTTCCCGAAACCTCTGTGTGGTCTGGCTGTCACAGACCATTTGGGCAGGATTGACCTGTGGCTTGACCACTGGGGCAAGGCTTGGTGGGAAGAGATTGAAAAATTCTAAGGAGATCATCAGATTTTGAAGAGTTTTCTTCTAGGCTGTAGGATCATGCATTATTTGATCTTCTCTATAATTTCTTATGTTATTCAGTTTTTCTACGATGAACATGTATTGCTTTTATGATTACAATATACAGTATGTCACCCAGAGAGCTTGTTCAATATACAGATTACCTGGCCCCTTCCCTGGAGATTCTAACCCAGTTGGTCTGGGTGGGGATCTGTTTTATAACAGCAACCCAGCTCTTTTGTGACACAGTCAGATTTATAAACCACTCTTTTATCTTTCTTTTATTTTTTTAAATAATTATTTTATTTAACTTTATTTATTAATTTTAATTTGACCAGAGATGGGGGGAGGGAGAGAGCTCACGTGTGCAAAAGTGAGAAAGCAAGCCATCAGGAATGGACCTTGAACCGGGGTTGGCTGTGGGGGTTCAGTACCCTTAACCACCACACCATCTGCCAGTGCCTATTTTTTCTTTTATTAAAATTTGCTATGGAGGGCTGGCAGGTGGTGTGGTGGTTGAGGTGCTGGACTCCACATGGCTGACCATGGTTTATGTCCCAGACCTGGTGGCTTGCTTTCTTTCTTTCTCTCTCTCAGTCTCTTTTTGGTCAAATTAAAATAATAATAATAATAAATAAAAGTTAAATAATTCTTTAAAAGACTTTGCTATAGGGTGTGCACCCTCATTGGAGAGAAACAGAAAGAGAAAGTGAGCATGCACCCTCCCCCCCATCCCAGGGGTGATGGCCACACTGCAGTCCCTTCTCCTTCATTTCCCTTTCTTTTTGGGAATTTGAGCACACATGCATAGGCACACAGCATGTTTATTTATTTATTATTATTTTCTTAAAGTTTTTTTTTTTTTTTTTTTTTTTTGTCACAGGGTATGTGTACTCACTGGAGAGAGGCTGAGAAAGACAGTGAGATGGAAAGTGAGAAATCACTCCCTGGGGGGATGGCCACACTGCAATCCCTTCTTCTGGCATGGGCACACACACACACATACACACACACTCACGTGCCTGGTGTGATTTTCAAGCTACTGGGTCTGGGACTCAAACCACAGTTGGCCATGCAGGAATCCAGCACCAGCTAGCCCCAAACCACTTTTGTTTGTTTTGTAAGTCAAGTACTACTTACAGATAGGTCTGTGGGAGGTCCCATCCTAAAGCCAGGACCCTAAATCCCTGATCTCAGGACCATCTGCCTCCCAGAGTTCCTTCCTCACCAATTCATGAGCCCTATGAACTGTCACAGATGGGCATGCAACCTGGTTCCTTCCCAAGGACCAGTCTGTGTGGCCCGCCCGTGCCCTTCCGACTTCAGCACTTCCCATGAGACAGCACTCTCTGACAGCACTCCCTATACAGCAGGGATACTGCTGCTGCTTTGCCTCATCACCAGAGACCTCAGTGCCCAGAAAGTCACATGACCAGCAGGTGGCCTCCATTAATGGAATTTGGGAGAAATCGAAACATACAGGGATCGGATTGGCTCAGACCCCGAATTATACAGTATGTGATCTCCCTTCCTTGACCACTGAGCTGTTCTGAGATGATGTAGTGAAGGAAGGATAGAGATTTAAAGAAAGATGTGTGATCGGGGACCAGCAGTTAGCGTAAAGGCTATGTCACTGGACTCCCATGTAGTTGGCCACAGTTTGAGTCCTGGCTTAAACTCACTCTGGGTGCGTGTGTGTGCGTGCTCAAGATCCCGAGAGGAGAATGGAGGAGAAAGGATTGCGGTGTGGCCATACCCCCTGGGGGGCTGATTTCTCGCTTTCTATCGCTCTGTCTCTCTGTCTTCCTGGCGAGCGCATGCACCCTACAGCAAAAACTTCTCAAAAAGAAAAAAGAAAGAAAGAAAGATGTGTGATCGTGCTCAAAGCGCAGTAACAATGGGCATTGATGTTCTAGGACCAGATGATCTGGGGTCACTTACTAGGTCTGTGGTGGCTAAGTTATCCGTAATGACAATATACACTTGTTCCATAGGGTCGAGACACATGGGTAGAGCAGTGCACCTCATACCATAATCACCTCTATACCTTGTTTAAAATGCATGACGCAGTGGGTCATTTCTAGGAAGCTCCAGACAGTGCTGAGGCTGCTGGTCTGTGGACCACCTTTGAGAAGTGAGGGCATAGAACTTGGAGAGCAGAGCCTGGTGCACACACTCTGTCACTGTTACTGCTGGGATCACAATCATGAGTACCCTGGGCCTTTTCAAATAGGCACCTGAGGAGTTTCGGGATTCCAGCAGACTGGCCTCTCTAGGGATCCGTCTTTTCCTGGATTCTCTTCCACCACATGACCTTTGCACCTGTCCTAGGCAGCAGCTGTAGGGGTGGGGGTGGGAAGGCAGTGCATCCTGTGCCCAGCTGCTGCAGGCTCCAGTCTTCAGGTTTGCAGCTGAGCCCCTTTTCATGCTGCTTTAGTTAACCAGATTTGGCTAAGCCGGTGCATTTCCTCTTTTTACTCATCTTTGTTTACAAAACACGAGGAAGCCATCCAGTCTCCCCAGCGCTGTCTGCCAGGCCCTCTCTGTGGCACACCCAATTTCCCTTCCCCTCCTGGCACTAGCTGGGCCTCCAACTCGCTGGGGAAAGAGGAATACTACTGCCGAGGTGGCTGAGGTGGCTGTGGGGAGTTCTTTGTTTCCGGGTTATCAGGGCTCTGGATTCTGCCTCAGTGGACATCTTTCTTCTCTCTTTGGCCTCAGGCAACCCAGCAACCAGCATGGTTCCTGGGGAGGTCAGGGGAGGCTGGGGCTGGCATGACCTTGAGGCTCTGGCAGTTCAGAAAACCAGGGCTCACTTTCCCGTGTGCCGCTGACTTACTGGCTCCTCTCCTGTGTGACTGGGAGCTCCTGGTGGGCGCCTTCTATGGTTAAGGACAGCCTGTGGGAGCGCTCCAGCTCCTTGCACGCTGCACGTAAGCTCGCCTGCTGACTGGGCCCCGGAAGGACTCCAAGTCCAGCTTTGCAGGCTCCTCTCTGCACACTGGGTTTTTATTCCCTTGTCCACTGAGAACCCTGTGGCGAGGCCCCAGCCCGTCCTCCTGCCCTGGCAGACAAAGAGAGAACAAAGACCGCCTCTTCTAGCATCCCCCACCCTGTCCCCTCAGGGGCCTCTGCTGGCCCCTGGGGAATGGTACCTGCGTGGGCAGGGCACCAGCCACAATCCTGTGAGCCACTGACCCCTGAACTTTGCCCCTGGCTTCCCAGCCTGACATTAGGACCTGGGATAACCTCCAGAGCGTGGTGTGCATTCTTTGTTTTTGTTTTGTTTTCAAGTATGTTCTTGCTTAACGTTTAATTGGCTCCAGTCAGTAGGAAAGTGCTCCAAGAGAGATTATTTATGGCTTACTGTCAAGAGCAGCTATAAAAAGGGCAGCACTGAGCTGGAGATGTTGGGAAGGGAGAGAGGGCGGGCGCAAGTAAGTGTGTGTGTGTGTGTGTGTGTGTGTGTGTGTGTGTGTGTTTGCACTGGATGAAATCAGATTTTTGCTGCCTCAGCAGTGTGGTTTAAATTGAAGATTAACCCTTTGACCTTCACAGTGTCAAATCACTTGCAGATGGAGACTCCCTGTCCCCTCAGGGGCCTCTGCTGGCCCCTGGGGAATGGTACCTGCGTGGGCAGGGCACCAGCCACAATCCTGTGAGCCACTGACCCCTGAACTTTGCCCCTGGCTTCCCAGCCTGACATTAGGACCTGGGATAACCTCCAGAGCGTGGTGTGCATTCTTTGTTTTTGTTTTGTTTTCAAGTATGTTCTTGCTTAACGTTTAATTGGCTCCAGTCAGTAGGAAAGTGCTCCAAGAGAGATTATTTATGGCTTACTGTCAAGAGCAGCTATAAAAAGGGCAGCACTGAGCTGGAGATGTTGGGAAGGGAGAGAGGGCGGGCGCAAGTAAGTGTGTGTGTGTGTGTGTGTGTGTGTGTTTGCACTGGATGAAATCAGATTTTTGCTGCCTCAGCAGTGTGGTTTAAATTGAAGATTAACCCTTTGACCTTCACAGTGTCAAATCACTTGCAGATGGAGACTCCCTCCCTCATTCCCCCCTTGTTCTCTGTGTTACTTCGGAGTGAGGGGAGAGAGGGGGGCACTTCTTCTCTTTCTTTCTGAAGTAAGTTTGTTGTTCATGCAGCTGAGGTTTGAGGGGCTCAGGAGCCAATCTGATTAAAAGCAGCACTTGGCTAAACTCTGGAAAATCCTGCAAGCAGGGGAAAAAGTTTAATCCTCTTGTGCACAGTGCACGTAGAACCTGGTCTTTTCTTTTGAATGTTAAAACTGTGATTGTTTTGGGAGAGCTCAGCTATCTCCTTCCCATTGCCCCTTCTCTCTCTCTCTCTCTCTCGCCTCTCCCCTTTCCCCCCAGTTTGCTGTTCTGATCGGATTAAAGTGCCAGCTCTGAGGCATGCAGGTCTGAACTTTATTGGAAATGATAAGGAGTCCTCTAAGATTGTGTTTAAGAGTCATGTGGACTTTTTTCCCCCTTTTCAGCACCAGCAGAACCGAAATCGCGCATGGTGGCAGATCCTCCTCTTCCTGCACAACCTTGCTTTGAATGGAGAAGAGAACAGGAACGGGGCAGGTCCCAGGTGAGGCTGGCCTGCCCTCTTCACATGAGGCCCCAGGAACACGATGATCTGGAACAGGAAGGACATCAGGGAGGACTGACGCTGTGTCTTGTGAAGTTGTTTTTCATTGTTGTTCTGTGTTTTCATTTTTTAAGTTTCTCTCTGTGTGTACATATGACATACCCAAGTGGGATCTTCTGCCCCTGTTCAAGGACCTGACCAGGAATGGGGGCCTTTGTCAAACACTGCTGAAGGAGAGGCTGATATGTCTATGATGGTGGGACTCCCCAGGGCTCGGACAAATAGATTCTTCAGCCAGCAGTTGTTGAAGCTGACCAGCTAGTGATGTTCTTCGAGAGTGGACAGTAGTCTTTTAATAGGAACTTGGTAGAGAATTAAGAGATTGGATTAGACTCCCAGTTCCACCAGATCTATCAGCTTTCCACTGTGGATGGGGGCGTGATCCTGACTGGAGCACTGCTTTAGCCCCCAAGGCCTTGGCCAGCCAGCTCCACGCCTGGACTCCTGCCTGCCCAGCCAGTGCCTGGCCCCAGGGCTCAGGGATTCTTGCCCAGTCCCTGTCACCTCCAGCAGACCTCAGGGAGGGTTGGGTTTCTCTAAGGACTCTTCAGATATGCCACAAAATGAACCAAACTTCTGGGTAGGCCTCAAATTTGACTGACTTTCGCTTGGAGGCTCCAGGATTGGTCGTGAGTTGCAGAACCACTGCCACCTGTCGTGCCTGGGACCAGTCGGCTGCGTGTCAATCATGGATGAGCCAAATAACCAATCAGTGTGCTGAAGCCACCAGCTCGTGCCTTTGTCAGCTCTTCTAAAGACCCAGCCAAAGACTGCATCCCGTCCCCACCAGCAGCACTGCAAGGTCTAGAGGGGAAGGTTTGGAAATGTGACAGCCATCCCACTGAGAAGAGGCAGCCCTAGAGGACTCCAGACCCCTTGGTTTCCTTGGAAACAACATACCTCCTCCCCCTTAGCCCCATTCCTTTTTTCGTACCTGGTGGGATACCGGAAGAAGCCAGGACAGTGGTTTTGTCAGCCGAAAAGTCACTTTGAGAATAACAGACACGGATTAGAGTGTGGAACTGTCAAAGCTGGGTACACATTTCCTGTCTTCCTTCAGCTTCCAGCAGGCAGAGGGCACGCTCTGGAACTCAGCAGGATCGCAGCCACCTCTGAACTACTTCCCTTCTGTCCCTGCTGTGGCACTAATGGAGGGAATTTAAGGCAGCTGGTCTAGCAGCTCTGAACGCAGACACAGGGAATCTGTTAACCAGACACCTAGAAATTAAATGATGATTTTTGCATATATAAGAAAAGACAACATTGGTGCTAAAGGTGAAACAGTGGCTTTCCTGGGCAAAGAAGAGCCTGGGGCTACCAAGGAAATGGGAGGAAGAGATTAAAATCTGAAGAAGTCCAAACTTGTCCATTTCTGCAGAGAGGAGGTCTGCAGTTCTGTTGAAGGAGACATTGATCTTCTGGATGTGCAGGCCGTTGGCTGCAGAAGGGCACCCGCAGAGGGAGCGCATGGCGGCTCAAGTCCAGCCTGTGCTCCGCTCGCCCAGCTGTGTGCTCTGATGCGGGGCTGCACCTGTCCAGAGGAAAGGGTGCCTTTCCTGGTTTGCACAAAGGTGCCACGTGGGCTCACGGTGTCCTCAAGGAAGAGGACTTCAAACTGTGTGCCTCCATTTTCGTTTGGTTCTGCTTAGCTGTTCTGAAGATATTACCTCTTCTTGGCCAGAATTTTATTCTCAGGGTGTGTACCATGGTTTGTCTGCTTAGAAGATGGGGTCCTGCTTACAAGGAGGAGCAGGCGTGGAGGCTGGCTCTGTACACGCGGACCACTGTGAGATCCCTGCGTGTCTTCATACCGTTTATGTTACATGTAGGACAGATACTGTTCTCCTCTCTGCTGGATCAAGGCTGTGACTGGTGAACGCTGGTGTGTGCGTGAGAGGCGCACCCGGGAAAGCCGGGATTATTCATACCAGCCATTTCCAGCCCCTCTTGGCAGACTTTCCACCTGAGCTGAGTGAGGGAGAAAATAGGCTAGACCTTTGTGTTGAGGCAAAGCCATCAGCCTCAGAAACCTTGCCAGGCCCAGGCTGGATGCCCTGTGGCCTGTTCCGAGAAGGGGGGGGGCAGAGTTTGACAAGCCCACCTGTGCATCGAGCCTAGGGTTAGATGGAAGGTTATTTGATTGCACCGTCTGCATTTTATACAAAGCCAGGAGCTAAGGAGACAGGGCAAACGTTAACCCTCTTCCATCTCTCCCCTCCTTCCCCCCAACAAACCAACTGGGAAGTAACTGGTAGAGTAGCCCCAGGAGGGAGGGGGAGAGGGTCCTCCTGGCTGGCTGTTTTGAATTGGCCTAATGATCTAGACTGGCCCCTTCCCCCTCTGCCTGATGAGTTGGTCTAAACATTCCTCAAGTCTAGCCTCCGGAGACATGCCCCCCACCCCACCCCTTGGGCTCCCAGCCCCCACCCCAGGAGCCTGGCTGTCTCTGATGAGGGGGTAGAGAATCAGATTTAGCAGGAGGGAGAGTCTGACCTGGGCCCTGACCTGTAACCAGCTGAAGACCAGGGGGGCTTTTGTGACTTGCTGAGAGTGGGGGTTGGGAGAGGGGCTGGAAACCTCCCCCCTCCTTGTAGAAATGCCCTGGAGGAAGGGGAGCCTGATTATCAGGGCCTAAACAGCCCTTCTAATTCTGAACGCCAGAGTAGGGGTTTCTAGAAGCCAGGAGACAAGGATGGGGAGGGAAACCCCCAGGCCGAACTCTGATTCCCTACCCTATGAGATAGGAGGAGCCAGCCTGGCCTGTCTGCCTCAGCCTGTTTTAAAAGTCCTGCCAAGGGAGAGCTGCCCGTGGTGGCCTTCTCTTGCTCAATCCGAGGTGGAAAAAGATCACCTCCCATTGACCTTCCTCAGCTCCCAGGGGAGAAGATCTGTGCGCACAGCTATTATATGGCAGGATTGTTTGGGGGCTCAGAGGGGCCTGCTGGCCCATCTCAATGTCCCCAGTGACCCAGCCCCATCTGTGGCTGCTCCAGCATGGGCATGGCAGAAGGGAATTGTTTGGGATGGTCCAGCCAGGGTTGCCAACAGCCCAGAGCTTTCCAGGAAGGGGGCTGTGGAGGCACTGGACTGTCCTGATCACCAAGGAATGCTTGTCTTCTGGGGAGACTTGATGGGGTAGGGAGAGCCGAGATTAGCAAAAGTGGGAAAACTTGAATCATCATGGCTCTGTAGAGTTTCCGTAAACCAGTGCTATTGTGGCGCTCCATACCCTGGCAGGAAGGGGTTCTCCTGTCAGCCTTCGCAGCCCTCTGGGCACACTGAGCAGGAGGCAGCCTTATGGCTGGTGGGGACTTGGTGCCCTGTGGGAAGAGCAGAGAAAAAAGAGCTAGCTCTTCCATAGATGTGCCAGCCTCTGGATGAAGGTGCTCTGAGCCACGCGGGCTCCCGGGCCTGCCCTGCCCTGTTCCCTGCTCTAGAGCATTGTCCTGTGCTCCGCCCCATCCCTGGATCCACAGGGGCAGTCATGGAGACCCAGTGAGAATGTAGCATTTTGTTTATCCCCAGCTTAGTTGCCTTGGGCTCTGGGTGCTCTGCCTCTGGGACAGGAAGAGGATTGGGGACCCATGTTTTCTCAACCTGTACAGAGTATTTGGCTTCATGGTCTTCATATGCCTACGTGTGTATGTATATACCCCCGCCACTTCAGTTGGTACAATTTTAATAAAGCAAAGTTGGTCTGTCTTTTTCAAGGTATAGTAAAAATGCAACGGGATTATTTAGGGAATTAAAGACTCCTAACTGCCTTTGCAAGTGCCACCCCATTACCCAGAACTTCTGGGCTATTGTCAGAACTTCCTTTCTCCACTTGGGACTGAGAAAAACAACTGTGACTACACAGTAAGCATTACAACACAGGCCCCATAGGGTGGAAAGATGTAGGCTTTAGAGTTCATCAAATCTGGATTTGGATCCAGGGTCCTCTACCAGCTGGACGGTCTTGGGCAAGTTATGCAATGTCTCTGAGCCTTCAGTTCTACAGTGTGCAGTCTAGTTTGCCCACTTGGCAGAATGAATGGGGAGGTATCCAAGGACCAGCCCACCCAGCACCCAGCAATGGCAATCTCAGTGATAGAAAGCACCCCTCCACACACAGCACAGGGCCCCCTCCAGCCCCCCCACTAGACTTGGCTTCCTTTGATCAAGGTAGCATCTCACAAGGTGTGCTAGTTGTAGGGGACTTCCTGGCTTCATTTCTTTTCTTTTCTTTCTTTGGAGAGGTTTTTTGCTATAGGGTGCGTGCGCTCGCCAGACAGAGAGAGACAGAGAGACAGAAAGCGAGAAATCACCTCCCGGGGGGGTGGCCACGCCGCAATCCATTCTCCTCTCGGGATCTTGGGCACGCACGCACAT